GCACACAGCCTGACTCACCTCACCTTCCTGTCCCTGCCCAGGACTGGGACTTCCTCAGGAACCGTGAGTGCTTGTGTTGGGAGAGTGGAGCTGGACGCCAAGTCCTGGGCTGTGCTAGTGCTTGTTGCTCCAAGGGTGTCATACATGCGCATGCACTCATCTCTCTGGGGTCTGCATGCATAATCATGACTCACGCTCGCATCTCATCCTGGGCCAGGACCATAGGATTTCTGGGTTTCTCCCAGCCCCTGTTTCTTTTTTGTTTTTTTGAGACAAGGTCTCCCTATTACCATATTACCTATTACCATCTAGAGATGATTTAAAGTATGTGGGAAGATGTGTGTAGGTTTTATGTAAGTGCTGTATCATTTGGTAGAAGGGATCTGAGCACCCACAGATTATGGTATCTAAGGAGGGTTCAGGACCCAGTCCCCCCACAATACTGAGGGGTGACCACAGAGCGGGTGACGCTGTGTCCCGCTGTTTGTGGTGCTGAGATTGTACCAGTACCAGTACTGGCAGTCACATGCGTGTGTGTTATCCCCTCCTTCGGGCGTGTCTTCAGAGTCAGTTCTGAGAAGTGGCCGGCTGGACTGAATGGTGAGTGTTTTCACAGGGTTGAGAGCGTCAGCAGACTCCCTTCCGTGGAAAAGTGGCACTAGCAGGCATCCCTCTCCCGGTGAGCACCTGCCCTGCCCTTTGGGGCAATGTGACTATAGGATTGTTAATTTTTACCAGTTTAATTGATGAAAAAGTTGATATTGGCTTGCTTTTCTCCTATTATGAATGAAGTTAAACATACTTTCAAGTGGCCAGGACCTTTTTCTTTCCTTTCTTGCCAGAAACCATTCTAATGGGTGTGAAGTAATTGATTTTCCTAGTTTTTAAGTCATGTACATTTAGTTTCGTGTCTCTGTAGCTTTCTTTTGAGTGTGACAATGTTTTAGACTTTTCTTGTTTTTAGTAGGCTGGATGACTTCCAGTCAGTGATTTTTGTAGACTGTCCCTTAACTGGGATTATCTGGTGTTTTTCTGATAGATTGACTGAGGCTATGGGACTTGGGAGGAAGATCACAGAGGTGTAAAAAGCCGTTTCTATCACGTCATACCTTGTGTATCAGCTCAATGACTCACAGCACAGACACGGGCCTTGGTCCCTGGCTGAGGCAGCCCTTGTCAGGGTTCTTACAGCAAGAGAACTGATGTTGCCCTTTTTTCCTCCTTTGCCCACTATTCTCTTTGAAAGGAGGTTGTTAAGCATAGCCCACACCTAAGGAATGGGGACTTACTCACCTAGATGTGAATCCTCACCTTATATTAGGTAGTGATTTCTTAGGAAGGATATCAAAAACAAAAGCATCAAAAGAAAAAAGGAGGTAATTTGGACATCACTGAAATTAGAAACTTTTGTGCTTCAGAGGATACCATCAAGAAAAAGAAAGGACAAGCTGAGTGTGGTAGTGCTTGCCAATAATCCCAGGTACTTAGGAGGGCAAGGCAGGAGGATCATGAGTTTGTGGCCAGCCTGGGCAAACTAGTGAGACCCTATCTGAAAGTAGAAAACAGTCTGGAGACACAGCCAGTGGGAGTGTGCTTCCCTAGTGTCCATGAGACCCTAGGTTAAACTCTAGCACCAGAAAAGAGAAAGAGAGAAAGGGAGTGAGGGAGGGAAAGAGCTGTAACAAAATACCCTAGCTTGAAGGACACCAATTTGATTTTTATAGTTCTGGAGCCTGGGAGGACCAAGACCAAGGCATCAGCATAGCTGGTTCCTCCCATGGCCGCCCTGGCTTGCAGAAGGCTGCTCTCCCACATGTCCTTACATGGGCTTCCCCAGGTATCTTTACAAGAGCACCCAGCCTATTGAATTAAGTAAGACTCCACCCTGTGGCCTTATCACCCCAATTATCTCCTCAAAGGTCCTGTCTCAAAATAGAGCCACATTGGGGTCAGGCTGCAGTGTGTGAATGGGGAGAGGGGAAACAATTCAGCCTAAGATCTACAGTTTGGGTAGGGGATGGCAGCAAACAAGATGTGTGAGGGACTGGGTGTGGTGGCGTACACCTGTAATCCCAGCATTTGGGAGGCTGAGGCAAGAGGGTTGTTGCAAATTCGAGATCAGCCTGAGCTCAAGGCTAGCCTGAACAGCATAGTGAGACCCTGTCTCAAAAAGACCAAAAAAAAAAAAAAGTGTGGGGAAGTCTACGGAAAGTTTGGAAAGACTGAGATTTAAGGAGGCACCATTATGTTGGCCATGGTTATTTTGCTTTTTATTTTAAAAAGCAAAGTACAGCCGGGCGTGGTGGCACACACATGTAATCCCAGCACTCAGGAGGCTGAGGCAGGAGGATTGCTGCCAGTTCGAGACCAGCCTGGGCTACAAATTGAGCGCAAGACCAGCCTGAACTGCATAGCAAGACCCTGTCTCAAAAAGACAAAAAAAAAACCAAAAAACAAAAAGCAAAGCACAGGTACAGAAAACAATGTGCTCAAAATGAGCACTTTGATTAATTAGTAAGATGTTTTGCTCTCATGGGAGCTCGTTGGTCAGCCATAGTCTCCTTCCTCCAAAAGTGGTCTCTACCCTTAAGTTGTCATCTCCCCTCTTCACATCAGTGCAGGTCTTCAGACACTGACCCAGTCATCCTCTTTAGAACGTGGTAAAATTTGTTTTTTTTTCTACATTTATCTTTTGATTCACCCTTAGGATAGTTGTCTGTTTATATACTTCTACATACAAAGAACTAACCAGATGATAGTATGATTTTTGCTTACAATCATTAAGCACTTAGAGAATTGTTTAGCTGGGCATGGTAGTATGTGCCTATAGTCCTATAGTCCCAGCTCCTTGGGAGGCTGAAGCAGGAGGATCACTTGAACTCAGGAGTTGTATACAGAAAGGAATCCTGGACCACTGTTGTAGGCCAGCCTGGACAACATAGTAAGATCCTAAGAAATAAAACCAAGCAAACGAAAAACCAAAACAAAATAAAACAGATATGGTGGTACATCCCTGTATTCCCAGCTACCATGGAGGCTGAGGCCGGAGCACAAGTTCAAGGCCACCCTGGGCAACTTAGTGAGAGCTTATCTCAAAATTAAAGAGCTGGGAAAGTAGCTCAGTGATATACCACTTGCCTAGCATGTATAAGGCCCTGGATTTAATTCTTAGTACTGCAAAAGAAGAAAGAAAAGAATTATCAGTCAAAATTGCCCAGCTGTTTTCCTCCTTTGCCTTTTCTTCCTTCCTAGTAGTCCAGGTTTCCTTGCTGTCTACAGGACTCCCAACAGGCCTCTTACTTTAATTGGCAGGGAGGAACTGTATGTATTTAGGTGTGGTCAGCAGTTCTTCTGGAGAGGGCTGCTGGTGACAGAATCTTCACTTCTTACATCTCAGGCTGTCTTCTCCTCGCTCAGAAGCATGCTTTTGCTGAGTGTGGAGTTCTGGGGCCATGGCTCTCCTGCCAGCATTTGAACGGTGTCTTCCACGGGCCTGCTCTGTGCTGACGAGAAGTCCACTCCCACCGAATGGCCCTTTGCTGTTGGTAATGCACTGTTCTGTGCCTGAGCTTGAGGTTGTCTTTGCCGTTACTTTTCACTAGTTAGGCTGGGTCTTGAGGTAGACCCTCTGGGTTTGCCCTTGGTAGATTCATTTAGCCTTTAGTATGTACAGTTCTTTTGTCAGGCTTGCAGAGTTATTAGCCACTGTTTCCTAAGACCCTTTTTCAGCCCCATACTCTTTCTCATTTTCCTGAAAGAATCTGACATGTACATTCAGTCTGTCTGCTCACCCTGCTTTTCAGTTGGATTATTTTATATATATATATCTGTCCCTCCCAAAATGAGCACAGAGCATTACGCATGCTAGGCAAGGGCTCTACCACTGAGCTATACTCCCATTCCTTTAAAAATTTCATTTTGAGACAGGTTTTCATGAAGTTACCCAAGCTGGCCTCTAGCTTAACCTCCAGATAACTGGGATTATAGATATGCATCATTGTGCCTGGCTCATAAATCCATGGATTTTGTTTTGTTTTTGTGGTACTGGGGTTGAACCCAGGGTCTTTGTCCGAGCTACATCTCCAAGCCTTTTATTTTTTGTGACATGGTTTTGCTGAGTCACTGAATTGCCTAGGATGGGCTTCAGTTTGTGATCCCTCTGCCTTGGCCTCCCTGGGTGCTGGGATTACAAATGTGTTTACAGGCTTCCGTACGTCTGTCTCTTAAATTTGTGGTTCTTTCCTGCCATTGCATTCTATTGTTAAGGCTACCCACTAAATTTTACATTTTGGCCATTGTGTTTCTGGTTCTACATTTACACTTTGTTCCTCCCTGTGTATTTGTTTGTTGAGAGCTTCTACTTTTAATTTATTTCAAGAGAGCTTGTGATTACTTCTTGGGGCATTTTTATGATGGGAACTTTAAAATCCTCCTCAGATTCTAGCATCTGTATCATCTTGCTCTTGACATCTGTTGCCATTTCTCTTTTGAGTTGAGATTTTCCTGCAGGTTTGTTTGTTTTGTAACAAATAACTGGTTTCTGAACATTTTGAATTCTTTGTTAGAAGTCCCTGGTTCTTATCTATTTAGCAGGCAGGGCATTTGTATAGATGTAGAGTGCATGTCCTGGCCTACGTGGTCAGTTTAACCTTCAGAACATTTTGGAACTGTTCTCACTGGCATACCTGTATGCCCCTCAGAGGCCAGCCTGGCACCTGGACAGCATCCCCAGTGGAAGTGCAGTCCTCAGAGATCACACAGCCCCAGGGAGGACAAGTTTAAAGGGTCCCTGTTACCTGGGTGTGGTGATGTACACATCTGTGATCCCAGCACTCTGGAGGCTGAGTTGAGATCTCAAGTTTGAGCCTATCCTGGGTAACTTAGTGACTTAGCAAGACCTTGTCTCAAAAGAAAAAAGAAAACATAATCGTGGTTCTTGGGGACCTGGTTGTTGGAGTTAGGATGAGGCAGAATTATGCATGTGTGGATCTCTTGCCCAGGACTGAACATGCAGCTGGAGGACATCGCAAAGCTGAAGAGTAAGTGCCACTTCCCAGCAGCCCCCACCACCTCCACCCCACCCCCATGGGTCCACTGCCCCAATGCCTCCTTGATCTGCAGTGATCCTTCTTCGCCTGGAGGGGGCCATCGATGCTGTCCAGCTGCCTGGAGATGGCAGTGGTGTCACCAAGCCAGGAAGGTAGGGAACAAAGGCTGATGCCTTGACCCACTCTCCCGCCTAGAATGGGTGTCTTTGTCCTCACAGTGTCCTGCCGGCTCTGACCTGGGGCTTCACATACCAGTGGGGTCTGTTTTTTTGTTTGTTTGTTTTGTGTTTTGTTTTTCTCCGGTACCGGGAACCGAACTCACGACCTTGCACTTGCCAGGCAGGCGCTTTTGCTGCTGAGCTAAATCCCCAGCCCCCAGTGGGGTCTGTTTTTGATTCCAAGACCCAGGAGGGGTTGTCAGCTTTACGTGGTCAGTGAGATCTTTGGGAGTCAGGGCACACTCTTTCATACACTGTGTCCTTCGGTTCTTTCCTCCCACTCTTGTTAGTGCAGGTTAGAATGAGACCTTCTCTTTAGCACAGTCAGTGCTGTTACCCACCTGTGCAGACTCCAGAGGGCCCAGAGTGTCCTGAATGCCCCACAGTTGCCCAGTTTTTCGGCAGCCTGGGTCAATAAAGGCTGCTGGCTTGAAGGCAGATGAGCTATCACTGTGACAGCTCTCCTGGGCACACAGCTAATTACTGTACTTGACCAGGCCTGCTTTTGTTGTGTGCAGAAGGTAGAGTGTGTTCTAAAGGCCCCGGGATGCCTGCCTTCTCCCTGAGCTGGTCTCTTCTGATCTCTAACCCTCGCAGGGCTTGTAGTTCCTCCAGATGAAGCCTAGCTCCTCAGCTTGACATTCAGGGCTCAAGCCTGGCTCCTTGGCCTGTCCTGCCCTGTACTGAACCCAAGGGTCCCCTGCAGGCCCCCACCTCTCTCTTTCCAAAGCGCTCGGGGACCCCACTCAGAAACACTACCGCAGGAAGACTCCAAGGAGCCTCTGTCCACCCCGTGTTGGCCCCTGGCCCAAGTGCCTTGGTTTTCTCTTTGGTATGTGCCTGTAGTGCCAGGGCCCTCTCGTCTCCACACCTGAGGTGTCCTGAGAGCACAGGCCTTTCATCTTGCTTCTGTCAACTCTGGAGGGCTCAGTATTTGTTTCTGAGTGGAGGAAGCTTAAAAAGCTTCTGATCTATAGATTCCCAAAGCTGCAGGCCTAGTCCCTGGCCAGCCTCAGGCTTCTTTTCTTTTCTCTGTCAGCTATATCTTCAACCTGTTTGCCGAAGCCCAGATAACATTTCAATCAAAGGTCTTCATCTTGGAGTCACTGGACCAGATCATCCAGCACTTGGCAGGACGTGAGTCTCTGGCTCGCTATGTGGGGCATGTCGGGCCAGCCCCTTTGATACAGACAGGAGCCAGGCAGGGCTACCCTTAGCTGGCAGCCAGCACAGCTGTGTGGTAGCCTACAGTCTTGTCTGCTCTTCCCTGTGAGCAAGAGTCTGGCCTGTAGGGCCCTTTTTGACTGGGACCTTGAAGCATTTGTACCATGGGACTGGCCCTTGTGCTCTTTTGTGGAGCATGTCCCCCTTTGCTGTTGGAGCCTTTCTCACGTGTCCGAGTTAGCTCCCCTTCAAGGAGGAAAAGCAAGAGGCCTGGGTGGGTTTGTTGAGCTGTGGCTCCCACCAGCTTCCTCCTTGCCCACTCTGAGCCCTGTTCTTATTCCATGGCAAACCCCAGAGGGCTTCCCAGGACATGGTGTCATCCCAGCCTGAAACTGTGAGACCCCCCTCTGCTGGGTAGGGGTTTGGGGAGGTTTGAGATGCAGGACTCTGGAGCCTGCTGAGTTCCTGGGCACTGGAAGTTGGTGGCTCCTACAGTCATTTGACAACAGAGCCTTTCTGAGTCTGGCAGACTTTTAAGACTCTTCTGGAGAGCCTGTCCCCCTCTAGTTCCCATCTGCCCACCCTTAGTGCATCCCACAGTGACACTTGGTTAGAGGGAAGCAGTGAGGTGGGGCTTGGCCATGTGGTCATGGTGGTTCCTGGTCCTGTGGGATCTGGGTGGATAATCAGCTTCTTGCTGTCCCCACAGGTACTGGAGTGTTCACCAACACGGCTGGGTTGCAAAAGCTCATGGACATCATCCAGGTAGGAACCTGCGGTATTTCCTTTCCTGATGGAAGTCAGGGGAGGAGCTTTAGGGGCTGGACAAAGGCCCCACACCAGGGGCCTTGTTTTTGATTAGTAAACCCATTCTAAGTTTATTTCCTCCTGCTCTGAAGCCACTGTAGGCCTCCGGGAAGGCTACAGAGGATAGGTCTAGCCATGGTTGGCTTCTCAATGACCAGACAAACCCAGGGTGGCACTCCAGGGCTAGGGCCAGGAATCTCTTACCCTGCCGAGGTCCTTCAGGCAGGACCCCTTGGTTTACGTACAGGCCCAACAGTTCCAGATGGGCTCAAACTAGGAGATATCTGGAGAAAAATGACTTACTGAGCAGCTTCTGAGCAGGAGAACGACAAATGGGGGCCTTGTGAATACCCTGTTCTTTGACCCCCTGATGAAGAGAGAGACTCAAGTATGAGAACACCTAACAGAGATGTGCCTATGGGAGGCCCTGACAAAGAGACAGTGTGACTGTGGGAACAACTGTCAGAGACAGTGTGACTGCCGGAGCACCTGACAGAGAGACACTGTGACTGCGGGAGCACCTGACAGAGAGAGACAGTGTAACTGCCAGAGCACCTGACAGAGAGAGACAGTATGACTGCAGGAGCACCTCACAGAGACAGTGTGACTGCGGGAGCACCTCCCAGAGAAACAGTGTGACTGCGGGAGCACCTCACAGAGTGAGAGAGACAGTGTGACTGCGGGAGCACCTCACAGAGTGAGAGAGACAGTGTGACTGTGGGAGCACCTCACAGAGACAGTGTGACTGTGGGAGCACCTGACAGAGAGAGAGAGAGACAGTGTGACTGTGGGAGCACCTGACAGAGAGAGACAGTGTGACTGCGGGAGCACCTGACAGAGACAGTGTGACTGCGGGAGCACCTCACAGAGACAGTGTGACTGTGGGAGCACCTCACAGAGAAACAGTGTGACTGCGGGAGCACCTCACAGAGACAGTGTGACTGTGGGAGCACCTGACAGAGAGAGAGAGAGACAGTGTGACTGCGGGAGCACCTCACAGAGAGAGAAACAGTGTGGCTGTAGGAGCACCTCACAGAGACAGTGACTGTGGGAGCACCTCACAGAGAAACAGTGTGACTGCGGGAGCACCTCACAGAGAAACAGTGTGACTGTGGGAGCACCTGACAGAGAGAGACAGTGTGACTGCGGGAGCACCTGACAGAGAGAGACAGTGTGACTGCGGGAGCACCT